ATTACTAATTCATGAGAAAGTATGTTCTGAAAACTTCGGAATTACATGAGAATTTACAGAAAAGTCTGATAGTTTTGTCAATAGGTATCTATAATTTTGTAGACTTATAAGTTCATTTATGTATTTGAATACTAAAGAAATTTCCGTCATTGACGAAATTACCGGATATTCTTATAGTTATTTTTGCGAGTGAACTTCTGTACTATGTTATAGACTAATAACTAAATTTATCCATATTGATGTTGAAAGTGTCCTAGAAGTTTTCTGAGACTTACCGAAATGTTCTATACAATTTCCTGGAAATTTCTTTCTTTTCAATCTGTAATTAGCGAAATTTCATAAAAACTATGTAATTAGGTCTTAGTAATTTCGAAAATTTCCTTTTTTCAGAAATTTGAAAACTGTTGTTCGAAAACCTATTGAAATTGATTAATATTTTCTTTTAATTTCCGTGTACATGTAAGTTGACATATAGTAATTAATTGATCATCATAACAGAAATGAGTATTCCATATTGGTGTACTTAGACTATTTGCACAATTTTTTCAATTGTAAACAAGACACTCAGCTGGGCATGCATCAAGAAAATAAAAGCTTTGTTTAAATGAAACAATTATCAATGATTTTAGTACTATGAATAATTATACTCAATAATAACACTGATCATAATCGAGTAAGTGTATATAATTGTTTCTGGTATGTAATCATGATTCAAGATATTCTTTTTGCTGAAGTAATGTATAGTAATAAACTTACTTTGTAATAGACAGTTGAGACATGCATTATAAATGTTAGTGATTATGTTATTTCTATACTATCATTGAGATAAAGAAATGGTTTTAGACATTGTGATTTTAACTAGACTTGACTTTGTCTTTTATTGTGACAGATACATTACTGATTAAAGTTGCAATCATATCATTTTTATTTTCTAAAAACTGGTTTTTCATTGGGTCATTCGGTTCTATCATAAATACTGTTGGTTATCAGACATTGCTTGAAATTAATAATCTAATCGAATATTATCTTCAATAAAATAAAATATATTTCTGATAAAATCTTTTTCCATTACACAACGCTGACCATCACGCCTTTCTCGTTCCCTGCTGTCGATACTGTCGGTTCGATGGTGTAGCGGTTATCACGTCTGCTTTACACGCAGAAGGTCGCGAGTTCAAACCTCGCTCGAACCTCTCTTTTTTCTTCATGTTTTTACGCATATATTCATTGCTTGATTTCATTCTTACATTATGAAACCAAAAAATTTTGTTTATGTTCCAATTAGATTACATTATTTGCGTAGGACAAGCTTGAAAAAACATACGCCCATGCTCATATGCATGCCATCATCTAGATTACCATGTGCAACAAAAAAGGAGGAGTAGAAAGAAGATGAATGAAGTCATCATAGAAAAGAAACTTCGAAGAAAGGTATAAACTCCCAAAAGAATCATCAATCAATAATAGTTAGAAAAAGAATAGTTATTTTGCTTTGATAAATGAAGAAAAGGAAGTTAAAAATAATAATCATTGTATCCACTATTGCAATGGTGATTAACATGTTGATTCATTTTCCAAAATATTGTAGTCATGCGTAATAATTTTAACTTGCCAATCTGTCATATTTCCTTTTTTTCTTCAACGCATTATTTTGTTAAGAAAAGAAAAGTTTCAACAACTCGAAGAATAAAGATTGACATCGCATTCTTGCTTTCGATTCATATAAGTTCAAGCCTTAAAATGAATTGTTTTAAAACTCTTATCATAGTCGATATAATAGCATTAATTATGTTGGTCGTATTTCCTATACAATCAATGCCGACAAATGATGATTTGAATAAATTACCAATGCATCAGAAACGATGGACATTCAATACTTGGCGTTTACATGGTCGTCGACAATTGTCAAACGGTTTGCCTTTTTTTTTTCTTTTTTGTAAAACAATATCCTTATTTATTTATTAATTTTACCATAGATTTATATTTACCAACAACATCATTATTATCATCCCTTAACGATCAACAATATGAAATTTTCGATGATGCAGAAGATGATGCACGTAAAACACATGAACACCTATCACAATTTTTTCAAAAATAAAATCGTGAATAGAAAAGAAAAATACACTCAGCTTACCAAAACAAAAGAAAAAGTTCTATTTATGTTTTCTGACTGATATAATAAATATAAAAGACGTAGTTTTCCATCATTCATGCTATCCTGACATGAATTGATGTTTTTCCTTGTCTAGCAGATAATAAGTCGAATTGATCAAAAAGAAAAATGAATATACTTTGGTATAAGTTTTATAAGATATCATTTATTCCTTCAACGAGCAAGATTTTAATTTCACATTTCGCTGTATTATTTCACCATAAAGTGTAATGAACCAAATTACTAAGCACAAAATACGATGCCCGTAAAACAATAATTTACTTCAGACTTATTTAGAAGTTTCATCCGATATATAGACATTGGTTAAATTAAAATAAGACAAGATGAAATTTGAATGACTAATCAATATGTCATTTTATGAAAATAGTAACCAATAATGATCAATGTGAAAGAATTTTATAGATAATAATAACGTCATCGATCAATTATTCATGTTCATCCATTCAAAGAATTTTATAATAAATCGATTTAATTTTCAAGTATTTATTTCTGAAATACAATTCATACTAATAGTGATTGCTATCAGATGAATTGAAAAGATAAGAATACTTTTTTAATACATCATACTAATCGTGCAATGTTTATTCAACGCTATGATAGTATTACTTGAGGCTTAGTACTTGTTAATTTCATTTGAAGTCGCAGAGGTTTTTGTGTTGAAATCGAAAAAACAAACAGAACCATCTCGTAGGAAAAAAAATCAGGATATGGTAAAATCTATTTTATTATATCTATACAAGATAAATTCTGCATACAAAGAGATAAAGTAATGATAAGTTCACGATCGTTGCTTCTCTAATAGTTATTCATGGCACATTTATTCTGTAATACCAGTTCTTTGAAATTATATTAGCGATAGTAGTATAACATATGTTGACAGTATCTTCTAGCCTTTGTATCGCTTTGAATAGAACTTTTTCAAATGGGTTTTGTTCAACCAATGATGTCTGTTTAATTTCTAAAACTTAAAGATATGTTTAGTAAACTATTGAGTGCAACTTTCAAAATTTTCATGTGGTCAAATTGTAAAAGTCAGACTTGAGTAGTCTCAAGTACGATACTTCATTCTTACGTCAGAGTACGAAATTCTTAATTTTCTTTTGTTTCATATATATGCCTTTGAACATTACATAAATGTAATTCCTTTTTTAGCAATATTTCATAATTATAGAGTACAAAGGAATGTCCTCAAATATCTAGTCGCTTTTTAAGCGAGCCTATATCCAAGTAAGAATTCATGGTAAGTAGTGTAAAAGTCTAAGGCGTTTCATTGGTCAGAGAATTTATTCTTGAGATACCAAGTTTTGACTGCATTTTTGAACAGAAAGCTACGGTTCTCCTCAAATTAGCATGACAAATGCATTTCGATTTGAAAACTTTGCACAAATGAAGCTTTCGATGATACTAGTTCATCGTAAAAATTTTACTGCATTAACTATATGATATTCTGAGATATCAGTATTATAAAAAATGATTGTCTTTTTTTATCAAAAAGTTTTCAGTATTCATATCTCACAGTAGGGAATCCGAAAATGAATGAAACTTTTATAATGAGCTACCGTCACCGAGAGCTTAGTTTATGTAAAGTTTCCAATCGAAAATCAAATTTCAATTTTGTATAGTAACTTGAAGGAGACCACAGCCTTCTGTTAAAAAATTCAATAAAAATTTAGTATCTCAAATACACATGTGCATGAAATGGTAAAAACTCAAGATATCAACAAAAAGGATCTTTTCTTATGCCACATCTGAGACTAATAACAACTGTCAATGTAAAACTAGCTCCTTTATAACCTACTTATAAACCCATTATGAAACAACATATAAAAGAACAATTGATATTCGAAACAAATATAATATGAACATTATATCTTTCTTTCTCGATGGAAAATATTCTACAACTATTTTAATAAAAACTTCAAAAGTAGATTGTATATAATGTAGAACATGTTATGATCATGTAAAAATCATCCTATGGCAACAAATTCCTAAGTATCACGAAAATAGTATTGCTGCGAGGTTTGCTCCATAAATTATATTCTATTTTAGTCAAAGAATCAGTTATGTATGCAATCGATTTTTATTATATGAAAACTTGTTGTATTTTCTTCAATGAATGATAAATTATGTTTTAGTTAGTACTGCATCAAACAAATATATACTCCTTAATACAAACAAATGTTCTACATACATTATAAAAGTAAAAATATTTTATTTATACAAAAGAAACCTACAAATATACGCCTTTATCATCAGATGTAACTTGTTCAGGATTCGTTGAATGTTCGATTAACTTCTTTTTCTTTTCATCACATAATCTTTTTTCTTCTTCTTCCTTCTTTTTATAATCAATTGCTATAGGTGACCAATGTACTTCACCTTGTTGATTATTATTATCTTTTATTAATTGAAAAATTTCATTTATTTTTTGATGATATTTTTCAATAATTTTCTCATTTTCATCAATATATTCTTGTAATTGTTGATCTTCTTTTATATAATCTAAAACAAATATAATGAAAACAAAAAAACAAATTCTATCTATCAAATTAATAAATGACTTACCATACATGTCATTATTTGATTTTTGAAGATGATAACAACGTTTACATAATCCTTCAATATCGTCCATTAATTGACATATCGCATCACTCATTTTAGTTCTATAGAAGACATTAAAAATCAGAAATAATAGAATCACAAATATAATGATGGGCAATTTATTTTGAAAATAAAAAAAACAAACAAACAAACAAACAAAAAGCTTGATTAAAATTTACAGAACAAAAATCGATCGATCTCAATGTTGTGACCATTTAATACTTTTCAAATCTATTCCTTCTTGAACCATTTCCCATAGTGGACTAAATAGAAGAAAACATTAAAAAAAAACACCAACTAAATTAGTATTTCATAATAATATATATATTTAACCTCATTTCACGAAGACGTTTAACATGTTCAACAGTCTTTTCAATTGTATAATCAACTTCAGCTTCCGTGGTAAAACGACCAATACCAAATCTTTCAAAGAATATAATAAATTATACAGGATGTTTCGAAAATCCAAACAAAAAAAAACAGCAACTCGAATGACCCCTCAGCAATATAAAGGATTTAATTATCTTTTTCTCTTGCAATTTGGTCACATATTCATTCAAGTTTTATCCAATATATATATTTGACATAAAATGTCGACATCTAAACAAGTCATAATTAAATTGTTTTACTCATGATCAAATTCAAATAAGCCAGTATTGTAAAAAGGTAACTACAGATTGAATTTGTAAAATACAAGCCAACTAAAAGTTTCTTTAACAACACATTCCAGCAATTTTGTGAAACTAATACTGTTGATAATGACTGATGTGACTGTAAAAGTGAGCCAGGATTGAGTATTTGGTCTATGAAACTCTTTTTCGTAGAACCGTTCAACAAATAGTATTCTATATGGTTTTAATAAGAAATGTGCCGTCCTAATTCGATATGTTGTTATTTATAATAATAAGCAGGCTTGTGCACGAGACTAAATACTTGACCCTAGCTCATTTTCACAAGTATCCTTATATTCGTTGACTTTTGCTTCATTAATTTTTGTAGATCTTCCAGAACGTGATCTGCTTTCGAAAGTACTAGTGTCACAAAATAGCTGAAATGTGGTTTAGTTGGTGTGTTTTTTTCCGAATTCGACTTGTAGCTTTCATTTTACCATGATAACTGATTCGATTTTGATCATGAGCAAAACTATTGTAATTCTGACTTCTGCAGGCACAGACATTTCATTGAAATATATTGAATGAAACATTGTTGAATGTGTAATCAAACTCTAACAAAATATATTTGAGTCTCTTGATTGTCGAGTAGCTGTTTATGTTTTTTTATTCATTTAAATTTTCGGAAGATACTGCATTTCAAAAACAATAAAAATAAATCTTACCGAATTGAGGAATGTGCTAAATCATCATCAGCACCAATTGCACGAAGTACATAAGAGGGTTCAAGTGATGCAGATGTACATGCACTAATAAATCAAATAATATTTCTATATAAAGTAATATTTTATTTTCTACCTTCCAGATGATAATGCTATATCTTTAAGTGCCATTAATAATGATTCGCCTTCAATATAAGCAAATGATAAATTAACACAACCAGGATAACGCGATTCCGGATCACCATTAAGAATAACATTTGTACATCGTTTAGTAATTCCATCAATTAATCTTTTCGATAATTGTGCAATTCGTTTTTCATCATTCTAGAATTGTTTTTGTTTTTATTAAAAAGCTTTCTGAGAGTACCTCCTATCGAGCTAAAATATGGAACTCACATGTACTTTCTTACGCTGAATCAGTAGTGCGTATATTAATACCTTAATTCTACAATCTTAACTTTACATGCTTTTTTCCTTTAATCTTAAAATTTCAATCAATCTTGTTCACTTTGCAAACTTCTTATATTGCCTGTGTAACCACGAGTGGCAGGAGTATAAAAATGATTCATTTACACGTGCAACGGATAGGAAAACGTACTCCATGATCATCAACTTTGGTTGCTAAAGTCTCCGGAACTCTCAGAACTTTGATTAAAGTCTTCTCAAAAATCGATCTTGGATCAGGTACATTCAAATCTTACGAAACTTTTAGAATTTATCGAAACTATAGTGGAGAGGCAATAGTGAACTTTTAGCCTTCTATCATGATGTTTTCACTAGATATTCAACAAACGAAGAGTCAAATATAGACCATTCGCTTTAGGCACTCATTCTATCAGTTTAATTTTTATTTGAATGTAGGGCAAGACATAGTCTCTTTTCTAAATGTATTCTTACTTTTTAAGTGAAGCAAAGTTCTATGTTTCAAAAAACTTTCAAGAAATAGCGCTCTATTTATAACAGTACTTTCTTATATAGTAGTAACAAAGAATTCTGGAATGTGCCATTAAAGTGTCATACGCAGAGAAAGACGAAAAAGATTTTACACTTTTTCTAAAAAAAGGTCATATTTTTCAAGTAGGAAATTTTTGGAGAAAATGAAATGCAAAATAAAAAAATCCTATCAGATCCTAAGCTATAATCCCATACATTTTTCTCAATTTTCATGTTTTTCACAAAAATTCACATTTTTAAATGGACGAGGCTTAATGATCATTAGCTCCAGTTGCTAAGATTTGCAATGGAAGGCCGCAAAACTTCAAATTAAAACTTACGCTCATTTTTTTCTCCAAATATATATATATATGAGTTCTATAAAAAGAAAAAAGAAAAGTATTTTTAACTTACAGCAAGTTCTTGTTGTGATACTTGACAAGCAGCACCAAGACCAACTACAAGAGGAGTAGGAACAGTACCACTACGAATATTTCGTTCTTGTCCACCACCAGTTTGAATTGGATCAAGACGTACACGTGGTCGTCGACGAATATAAAGTGCACCAACACCTTTTGGTCCATAAATTTTATGACCACTTATTGATAAAAGATCAATATTCATTTCATTAACATCAATTGGTATTTTTCCGACAGATTGTGCTGCATCTGTGTGAAAGAATACTTTTTTTGATCGACATAATTTACCTACAAAAAAAGAAGCTAACATTATAGAAGAATTAATCAAACAACTATTACAATACCAATCTCTTTTATTGGTTGACGAACACCAATTTCATTATTTACCATCATAACTGAACATAAACTGGTATCTGGTGTAAGAACTGAGTCAAGTTCCTAAAGACTTTTATATGAGAGACAAAAAACAGTTTTTTGTTTAATTTTACTTTTAAATCAATAAGTCCATTCTTTTTTACAGGAAGATAAGTTACTTTAAAACCTTCACTTTCTAATACTCTCATTGAATCAAGTACACATTTATGCTCCTAAATAATAAAATAAAATGAAAATTAATAAGCGAAAAAACAAAGAAAAGAAATTTACAGTTTGTGTTGTAACAACATGTTTCTTTTTTTCCTTATAAAAACGAGCAACACCTTTAACAGCAATATTATTCGATTCCGTTGCTCCACTTGTAAAGACGACTTCTTTTGGATCAGCATTTATTAATTTAGCAACTTTCTACAATATTATATAATGAAAAACAAAAATATTGAATTAAATAATTCATTTGTATGTTTACTTCTCGTGCAGTTTCAATAGCCTTTTCACTTTCCCATCCAAATGCATGTGTTCTTGAATGTGGATTGCCATATAAATGTGTCATATAAGGCAACATTTGATCGAGTACACGTGGATCCTATATTTATTGAAATATAAAGAAATTCTATTTAGATAATCTTCAAGTAAATAATATTTACCATCGGTGTTGTTGCTTGTGCATCTAAATATAATGGACGAAATTCAAGTTTTTCTAATTCTTGATATTTTTGTTGCTTAATTTTTTTCTCATCAATTTCTTGTTGTTCTTTTGAAGCAGAATTTGCTTCGGTACCCAATTCGCGATATAATCGACGAGAAATAGATGAAAAAAATATAGTCTTAATAGGAGACTTTCTCGTTATGAAAAACATCTGAAAATAAAATAAAAAGAAATGAACATTTCGAAAAAATAATTGAATAAGAAAATATTCCTTAATAAAGCACTTATTACAAATAGCTCGAAAATTACTATCTCATTTTCTTATTAGAGCAATGAATCGATTGTTTTGTTCTACGTGTGGTTTATCCTTTACATGAAACATTCTAATAGCACCTCTTAATAACATGTTAAGAAAGAAATATGTTCAGTATTAGAAGTGACCTTACGATCATACGCTTTTTCTCAAAAGAATAATTACCATTCAAACAAGAAAAACATAATGAAACTAAAAAAAAAATTATCAAATTACAGAAAGAAACAACTGATGAGCGATCATCGTATTGAAGAAACACTAAATTTAGAGAAATCTCCGTCTTTGTATATCAACTGTAGGCAAATCGTTTGCATTCTATATCCGACACAGGAAAAATTTTGCTTTTCGAACTTCTTAAGATACGATACAACTTTGACAAGGGCATGTCATAGGCATAACATTGTCAACGATAGATTCAGAATACACATCGGTTAATACAACTATTAATAGTATTATTAGAGAGATATACAAGTTCGTTCTTAGATGGCCAAGAACCATCGGGAGAAAAGAGTATCTTCATTGCACAACTTGCGTTTCTTTCTATTTACTATCAATAGTTATGATTAGAAGGCCAATACAAGACTGTAAAGTACAGCATCAGTGTAATAATAGTTATTCGAAGATGCAATCAGAATATGTAGATGATGTTTTAAACGAAGTCATCACTAATCTATACTATCTGCTCCTAAATCATTACATTTATATAATCTCTTCATCTTCAAATACTTAATTTATGTAAAACCAAACACTCTCCCAATCATTACTCACTCACATTTTTGACTGTATGATTTTCTAATAGATACTTATGGCTTTGTAAAGTTTTCTTTTCTTTTCTATTGTATGACTTATTTACAAATACATAAAACTCATAAATATTTCTAGTAAAACAGGGTTTTTTTCTCCGATGATGAGCAATTTATTTTATTAAAACCGAAAATAAATCATTAGAAAGCATGGAATCAGAAACACACATACACATGCAATAAAAACAGATATCGTTGCGCCAAAAAATTCAAAAAAAAACCCAGACGAATGGAAAACAGATAAATCAACCAGACAAAACAAATAACTAAGCAACAAGGAAGATAACTTCTGTATGTATTTAACAGAGATTCCATGAACACAATGACAATAAAAATTCTTTGTCTTCTTTTCTATATTATCAAAAAAAACAAAAAACTCTTTTTCTTTTGATTTTTATGAAAACAATAATAATAACAATGTTAAAATAAATATGAAGCTAACTTTTAAAAACAAAAGGAAAGCAAGAAATTAAACAAAGAAAAAAAAAAATAATCAGGTGGCATTCAGTTTTGATTTTTCAACGATTGTAGCATTGCACATGAAAACACAAAAAACAAGAAGACAAGAAATAGTAACAATTAAAAAGGAAGAATGTTCTTTTTTATGTTTTGATAAATCCATTCAAAATTTTCATAAATATTTTCGTGATATACGATCTTGACGATTTCTAGAAAAGAAAATTGTTTAGATTAGTATGAACATCAAAATTGAATTATAACGGCTTTCTAAGATTACGTAATCTCAAGGAAAATTACTTATTGATTAGTACTATAGTCAATGCTTATATTCAATGAGTTCTTAGATGAGCTGGCATGCTTCTAAACTCCGAGATTTTTTTTATCACTTAAGTTTATGTATCAAGAAGGAAACAGTTATCCTGAAAAAATATTAATTACTAAGCAATGAAATATAAATGCCAGAATCAATGATTCATTTTATGAGTTACTTATTCCATTAATCTTTGTTCTGTTCATAAATATAAAAATTTCAAGAGAAAAGTTATATGCTGATAAAAACTATGGAATGTACTCAGATCAAGAAATATTGTTCTTTTATGACCGAAAAACTGGAGAAAATGATAAAAGAAAAAATCCGGTTACCGGATCCCTGCTTCCAAGTTTATGCCATTTTCTCGAGTTTTTTAGATCGGAAACATTGTCTTTGCGGTGGAAAGCTGCCAGAAGTTCATGTATTCGGGCGTTAGAATCATTGATCCGGGCAGATACATAGAGCTATAAACTTAGGGTTGGCAAAGCTTATCATTCTCAACTTTCTGCTGATTTACAAGTTTAATCTTTTTAGCATGCTTCAGGTTAAAAACCAATATGAATATACAGAATATTTCGTCATGAAGTCATATACTTGGACGAAAATGTATGTAGTTATCACAGTGTTCTTAAATAAGAATGTTAAATGTATTCGATAGAATGACAAACTACATCGAGATAGATATTTCATGTCGCATTCATTGATATATTAGATACAACTATTATGCAGGATAACTAGACATTTGCTCTTGTATAAACATGATTGAATCACTCCGTAAGATGATTCAAAATTCTAATTGAAATTCTTCATGAAAATATTTTACAAAAATTTTGCTATTTAAGAATATCTATAAGCATTAGAAAATTGGACTAGAAACCAATTTATATAACGGAGATAGTGAAAACTAAAACATTATGTCGTGATTTTCTCAAACCATTTTTTTTTATAAAAACAAGTGCGGAAACGCTCCAATTCTTCAGTCTATTATGGCCAATAGAGCCTATCGGATTCGGATCTGAAACTCTTATGTTATTCAATTCTCGACCCGGAACCAAACGCTTTGGACCCAACGAGCTCTAATGTCAAATAAAGCTGAAATTTTTTCACATGTAATACACACTATTTGCAACGGATATTCCTGTTTTCTTTTTTCAAAAAAATGTTGTTTAGCTGATTTTTAGCAGCTCTAGTCAAAAACAAGCACGTATTTTTAAGGTATCCTCGATATTTTAGCTTTTTTATTCAAAGGACAAAGATAAATAGATATCCAACAAAAATAGTGACTTATGCCTGCAAAATAAATTTCCCGTTAGATTGAACATAACATCTCGGATAAACAGACGCAAAGATTGAGATCCTTGTGATCCCAATTCACAGCATCTATGAATTGTGAGTCTATAACAACTCTTTCTTTATTAGTCAAGATCTATCTACTCTGAAAATTTCAAGGTTTTCTGCTAAGCCATCCTTCATACACTCAGAAAAATGAGCAGGGAAAATCATTAGTATACAAAATTGTCATTTTGATCAAATTTATGAAAGATATCAAATTTAACTTTAGTATAAACACTAAGGATATGAAATAACAAAGGTTTTAATATTTACTTGAATGCAAAAAAACCGACTAGAACAACAATTTGTATTATAATAGCACCTATAAATGTAAATGTACCCACACAAGAACTATTATTTCCACCAGTTACTGTTGGACATGTAACTTGAGTTGACTTGAAAAAAACAAGGAAAAAAAATATTTTTCTCAAAAAGTAATCAATTGAAATTTTTTCTTACTGATTTTTGTAATAATGTATTCGTTTCCGATTTAATCATTCTAACTAGTTCTCGAATTTCATTTACTACAGTTCCATCTATATTTGGAGTAACTACTTGTTGTCCTGTACCAATAGGTCTTTGATTATTAATACTTGTTTGAATATGATTGACTTTTTGTTGTAAATCCGTTAGTACTTGTCTATTATATAATAAAATATTCAAAAGGAAAAGAAGAAAAAAATTTTTTCAAACATACGCATAACTTTGAATAGTTCTTGTCATATCAGTATTAGAATTTATCACTCGATTCACATCTTGAATTCGTGCAACATCAGCAGGTACACCTGAACCACCCTAAGTTACAAAAAATATAGATTTGATAATTTAATATATGATTTTTCTGTTTTTTTTTGTTTGTACTTGTCCAACAATTTGTTGTTGTGTGCCAGTAGTTACAGCTAATCGTTCAACACGTCCCAATAGTTCAAGCATTTTTTTATCAATACTTGTTAATGATGAACGAATTTGATCTTGTCCTTCTAAGATAGTACGAAATTCACGATCATATTCACTTTCGTACTAAAAACAAAAAAAAAAATTTCAAATAATTAAATATGTTAAATAAATTATTGTTATACATACTAAATTTTTTTCATTATATGGTGTTGTCATATCTGGATGTTCTTTTTTATAGCTAAAATATTAAAAAAATATTAACTTGTTTCTTTTTTTAGAATAATAAAATCTAAAAACAAACTCGTCTTGTTGTTTTTTAAGTTCTTGTTCATATTTTTCATATTCTTCTTTATATTTTTTTGCTTGTTCATCTGTGGCTGCTTGATTTTGAGCTAATGCTTGTTTATCAGAATAAGTCGTTGTCATAAATTCTAATACATCGTGATCATCAGCAAGGCCACCTGTTGCAGCTGTTACACCAAGATATCCAGTTTTTGGTAATTGTACTCCATCAATACGTGTACAATATTCAAATGCATTATCATCTTGTGTTATACCATTATTAAGATAAATCTTAGATTAAAAAAGAACTATATATATATGGTTTTTAATAATTGCTAATCTATGACATACTGTTAATCCTTGATTGACATATTCAATTTTCAATCGAATTGGAAATGGTTTATTACGAAAATCTCGAATACAGCTTCCTTGAATTTGTCCACTACCATCATGTTGATGATCATATGTTTTAGTACCATCATTAACCATAACAGCAATTATTGGATTATTTTGCTAAGAAAAGAAATGCTTTTAATATTGATATATATTTACAAAATAATTTTGTTTTTGTTTTTGTTTTTGTCTCGGAGTCATGAATCAGCCAAGTGAACACAATCATCTTCCTGGGATTAACATTCCTATATTTTATTATTGCCATCAGAAATTAATAAAAATGTATTATTGTCTGTTTCCAGACTAAGGACTCTGGTAAATGATGGCATTTAGATTCGAAAATACGAACAAATACTTTACACAAAGCAACTATATTAGTGCTATACAACATAAATGAAGCGAATAAAAGATATTTTGAAAACCATTTAAAGTAAATTTTATATGAAACAAGTTTTACTGAGTAAACATCATAAATATGTAAAGCACAATAAGATATAACTTACAAGTTGAAGAGTCTACGAATTAGGAAAATTCTAATTTTTTTTTGTTTATATTACTTATTGAAAAACAAACGAAGAAATATGTTTCTTAAAGTAACTTACTAATGCATCATTGTCGAATGAATCAAGAAATACGCCTACACCTTTCCACAAATCATTTGAGCCAAATACAGGACCTTCAACACCTGCTTTCTCTGTAAACCAAATAGCCTAAAAAAGAAAATCAATGAATTAATAGAAAATTCTATATGTACTATGACTATAACTAAATAAAAATAAAAAGGTCAATTTTAAATAGATATATCGATAGAGGATTAGCAAAGAATAACCTTTTCAACTAGGAATGAATCTAAAGAGAAAGAAGATTGTCAAGGTTTCTTTTTTATCTGAATACTTCAAACATCGAATTTCTATGGGAATCGTTAACTTTTAATCGAAATGAAAATTAGATTTTCTATTTTAATAAAGAAAAAGACAACAGCATAATAATACTGCTTATCTAATGTTGACTAATCAAAATATCTAATAAATCAATATTTTTTGATTGGAAAAGTCTTACAATTTCAATATTACATACAATGTAATATGTTTTTTTTTAAATAATACCATGAATAAATTGAAACAAGACCGACATGGATGAACTAAACTTGACGATTAACTCTTTAAAACTATGACTATCTTTTAGCTAAGTTTATATGTGTTATATGGTAAGATGCAAAAATTTTTTTTCATTTTTTTTTATACATCGTTAGATAGAGCTCGATAAGCTGAGTAAGAATATGTATTTTACTGTTTTTTTTTCAAAGCCTTTTGATAAAAGACATCAAGTTTTTCTATAATCTTGGATCGTTCATTCTTTGGAAAAATACATTTTTCATACCATAAAACTGAGCCATTTTTTTCTAATTTTAAAACAATTTTACGTTTCACGCTTATCGCAAAACTAATTTGAAATCAGCTTTTCATGGCGAATCTGAACAAATTAGTTTTATAACAAGCATGAAATGCAAAAGAATTTTTTGAAATCATACAAAAATAGATCAGTGTCGTGGTATGAAAAAACATATTTTTCAAACGAATGAACTACTCAAGACTATTGAAAAAATCTCTTATTCTTTTATCAATAAAACTTTGAAAAAAATAATAATGAATATTCTTACTCAGCTCATCGAACTCTCCAACTATATATAAAATTGATTTTGTATACTTTATCAATGAACCAAATTCTGGTAACTCTCGAATTTTCCATTTAAAATAAAAAGTCCAGTCTTTTACCATTCCATCAGCACCAACACGACCTCGGCCAGTTACACGTAGTTTAACGTCGAGAAGCCAATTATCTGCAGTCATTGTATTCTTACTCCAAATCCAACCTATATATGTATGAAATTTATAATCATGTAAAAATGAAAATTATATTTCTTTACCTTTTTGACTTCGAATTGATGGCGTTACACGTACTTGTTCATCACTAGCAATAGCACCTAAAGTTATTAAAAAAAAATAAAGTCAAGATTTTCTTGTTCGATGAAAATAATTACTTACTTCCACCAAATGTCCAAAATGGAACAGTCCCATCTTTAAAAGCAAGATGAGGTCCTTTAAATGATAATTTATATTCAAATCTTTTAACTAATTGTGGATTTAATTCAGATGGATCAGTATAAGCATAGATAACAACAATAGAAGAATATATCGTTAGAATAAATTGAAAAAATTTTGTCATAATTTTTCTAATTTCACAATATGATAGTGGCCAATAATCTGATCAAAGTCGGATTTTCAAATCTATAAAAACGAAAGTGAACTAATCACCAATCAAGTTTTTGGGCCAGGTGTTGAATATTTATTTGATTCAATCTTCAAGTTGACGTAATCACTTTGTTTTTTTTTGTACAGAACAAAAATAATTATTAACAAAGAAAAAATATTTTTTAATTAAAAATAAGAAAAATAATTGCTTTTTTTATGATAAAACTTATAAAAGAAGATGTCGTTTTGATTAAAGATTAAAATAATTTCTTTTTATACCATCGATTGGAATATCTTCTTGACCAATAGAAGGTATATATGATTTATAAATGCGAATAACGAGTGCTAAGACACAATATTCGTTTGTTTTTTTTTTTGTGAATGACGATTAATATCGCAATCAAATAAATAGTATATAGAAACTTGAAGACAATTATGTTCAATGTCATTAGTCTATATAAATATGAAAATAATATTTAGGACATGCTGTCATTCAAAAAGATTTAGTCATTAGATGTGAATTAAAGAAAATTTATTATATCAAAATTAAAACCAATTATTAATTATAATGACGATGATGATCTATTACTCGATACTATTAATAAATATTTGTTTATCTCATTTAATCACAATAGGTTCGATGTTTCTATTCGATACAACAATGACGGCTAATGCTACATATTACTTTAGCGCTGAAGATGGGTAATGATAGCAGCGAGAAGTACTCAATTGAATACATAATAGAGTTCGCCGGATCCAAAACATTTGCACTCGGATCTGGCTGAACCATACTTAAATTCTCTTAGTGAAATTTTCAAAATCGAATAGTCGCCCCAAAGATACGAGATCCTTTTTTCCAGTTTTTTGTACTTGGTGATTGTCTCATTCAACACCTTTCTCACAATGGAAGGTTCCCAAGTGATAAACCGCGTGTAAGCTGAAACTATGTTCACTCAATAGGATCTAGTGAGTAAGTAGATACCTTAGAATGATTTGAGTAGCCAGATCTTTGTTAATGAGATATAGAGCTTAGTGGATTCTTTTCTACAGGGCCCAAGTTTTCAAGCAAAACTATACTGTTGAATTTCGTTCTGAAATATAGCCCATTGAAAGGCACTGTTTAGACTAACTTTTACAAGAAGTTTCAGAATCTTTTCAATAAGTCTTTCCGAGATATGAATTTTTAAAAATATAGACGCTTTGGTATGATTATTGTAAAAAACATCGATGTTTTGAAAGATCCATATCTTGAAGAGACTTAATCAAAAAGTTTAGAAGTTCCTTCTACGAGCTGGCCTAATAGTTGCCTTTGTCAGAGCAAAGTTTCAGGTTAAAATTCGACAGGATGATTTCACTTGAAAACTGGGGCCTTACAAAAAATACACTGAAACTCGATATAATAAATAACAAAGGTTCAGCTATTCGAATCCCTATTGGGTATTTACTTATTAGATCCTATCGATCGAATATAGTTTCAGTTTGAAACCAATCAATCACTTGAGAGCCTTTCATCGTCACACGACTACGCCCTAGTAGATTTGAGCTTAACCCTTAAAAGCTGAACGAGGTTTCCGTGACAATTTGAAAAAACCAACCATCGGAACTGAGCTTCTGAGTCATCAGTATGATTATATTATAGTAAAAAAAAATTATTTTTTCTTATGGAGATACAGAATGTCCCTTGGAAGAGACATTCGATCGTAACGGTACAAAATTTTTCACTATTCTGAGTTTATGTAAAAAGAGTTTTTGCTTTGAAATGCTATTATTTATTTGTTTGTTATTACTCAAAAAACGAATTGAAGCAATATTTTACATTTTTTCAAAGCTTACACACTCTCTGTTCCAATATAAGGCTTGCTCGAAATGTTTCGGCTCGTTAAGACCAAATATCCCCTCTCAAGGAACATTTTCTTCATGATGTCATCATGCATCAACAGATCGGTTAAAAAATTCAGAAATGCTCTCATTCGATAGCCTGGTGCTGCGCCTTGCGATATCACTCACAAAAAATAGACTTTCATACTGTATTAATAAATGAGTAAAAGTTTCAAAGTAAAAAAAATGACATTCAGAAAATCATGTCTTTAAAAAACCTATTGTTTCGTCTAACAGGTACTCAAGACTGATCTTTTTCTCTTTGCATGGTCTATCAGGGTATCTTAGTGCAAGAAAACACTGGATCTTGTATATGAAGTTATATTACATGTTTTATTGAGATTTTTCCAATGTTCCTTGGAAGGGACATTCGTCTTTTAAGGGTTAAGCAGATTGAGAACTAATCTGATGGATTCCCACTCACAATGAAGGAATAACAGATTTTTTCCAATACGCAACAAAGCTAGGAGTCATTTTCCTACATTTTCATTCATACATTTGTCTTTTGCTATCTTTGTGAACTTGCCTAAATGCATCTGATTTATTTGAAATGATTGTGGACAACGATGGGAAAGATGAGGGTTTTTATCTGTCTTTCGAATCTTTAGTTAATCCTACTTCGATCGAAAAGAGAAGTGTCGAAAAGTAAAATGTGGATAGATAAAAACGTCGAATAATAAATATGTCGAGTTGTAAAAGAAATGAAAGGTAACAATGTTATCATACTGAAATATTGAAATTATATAAATTATTGTTTCGTTGAAGATAAAGAATTCAATGATATTTCTTTCGTTTGTTATATTGCACAACGAACAAGTTCTGTAGAGAGCACGTGGACATGACTTATTTTCTATCAAAAACGCATTTGTTTCTTCGTAAAAGTATTAATTTCCAGTTCTCAAGGGTGTGCACGTAGGTGAGAGTATGTATTTTAATTAAGAGACGTCCAACATCCAATTGTCTACACTCTACAGCTGCATCCTCATTTTCGTTTCAGTTATTGAGCATTGTTGCTTTCATATTACATTTCACTAATCTCAAACATTACAACTTTGGTGAAAATATATGTTTCGATAAATTTACTTTCCATATTTTGTACATTGTAAGGTTTGTTGTGAGAATCGCATCTCTGTTTGAAAACCTTCAACGCGAGTAATCAGTATTAAATAATCACTGCTACAAATGTCATAAGTTGTTTTGTATGAATATCATTTACCATGGGAATTGTTTAATTCAATATTTTCGAAAACGGCACAAACTAATAAATCACATTCAACTCTGTAATACAAAAGATTTTTATTTGTTTATCATAAGCTATTGAAATGCCACTGGGAGCATCTGTTTAGATTTAGTATTAGCACTAATCAATACTAATTCTAATGCTTATTCGGGGCATTAAATTTAGTCTTAGTACTTTGACGTTCGGTTGCCATCAGTATTAGCTAATGCTTAGGTATTACTTGAGACAAAGCCTCTAGGATTTCAAGCTGAAAAGTTTGCACTAACTGAGCTATTTTGTTCTATTATTCGAATGATCTTTTTTAGCACAAAAAACCTTGGTTCGGTTATTGGAATAGCCTTTTCTGGTACAATCAGTCTTCATTCTATTATTAGAATGGTCTTTTCTGTACAAGAAGCTTTTACTCCTTTATCGGAATGATCTTTCTTAGTAAAAAAAATGTGTTCTGTTTTGAGAAAACTATTCGAGATAAAAGAACAAAAATGTTCTATTATTCAGAACGTTTGAGTTTAACCTCTCAAATGTCTCATTGTAAGTAACATCTTAACATTAATTAATTCTAATAGAAAAAGCTTACGGGTTAATAATACTAATGCATAAATAATAGCATTTTATGAATTCTCTTACTAATGCGACATCCCTGATTGTTACAAATTTTTAATAATACGAATCGTAAATCTTCTTGTCCTATTGTTATGAGATTTATTTTGTTCTATCAATAAAATAGATAATTCAACACAGTGTAAATAAGTTCTGCGTAACATAAAACAATATCTTGCAGTACATTCAAGTATTCAGACTTACTTGATCTTCGGGTACAGGAAATGATGATTGTAAATACATTGAATATATTACCATGCAATAAATAAGAAATTCTATATCACACAAATTTTTTTGTTTAAATTTTAATGTATAAAAATAGAAAAAACACAAATGGTTCTAAACTAGATTTTCATCTAATCTATTTTATTTTATTTTATTTTATAATGTTAACAAGAAAAAATAAAGTTCAATATCTTCTTTATTCGATTAAAAAAAAAAATTGTTGAAAATGTTTTCTTTTCCTTTGGTCCATTTGTAGACTTAGAAAGTTAAACGAATATATACAAATACACACAAAAAAAAGAAAAACAAACAAAAATATAAATCAATCTACTTTTTTTTGTTTTTGTTATTAGAATGAGATTTGTATTTTATATAGTTTTAACAAGGATAAGATAAAAAGAAAAACAATAGACTACACAAACACAAAAGAGATCACAGTGGTTATGAAGGACGCTGTTCGTTGTTATATGCATGAAGTAAACGTTTTTTTAATGGTACATTTGGTTCAGATGATCCTGCTAAAAAATCATCAGAGCGAGTAGACGCATGGGAATACGATCGTTGCCTTGAAAAGTCACATAGTTCGGGTTGGACAAGTATCGACTTAAAAAAAAAGAACAATAAAATGTTAGAAACAATTTGGCTTTATAAAAATTTCGATTTCTGAAAAATATTTTAAAACGTCAAATAAAAAGATCATTTCGAAGTTTCATTCTATAAGAAAGTAATATTTCTTTGTATTTCATACAACAGCTATATTAATTGAGTATGTTTTACATGATATATTTTCATTAATCAATATTCACTTTTTTACTTTTGTTTGTAAAAAAAATAAAATTTTCAAGACAAAAAATGTATGTAATAAAAATATTTAGCAATGTTTCAAACTTGATTTTAGGTGTACAGATGATCAACTCTAGTTTAGCTAACAGAAGCAAAACTATTACAGAGATAAATAGAGTATCTGATGTGTATGTCTATTTTCTGCATACTGAATGTACTTTGACAGTTGAATTAACTCATCATACGTA